AATGCACCCTCAGGAAATTTGGCGATGATCCTATGTGAGGAATGGTTGACTTGCCAGCAGTGGCAAGTATCTTGTTACTTATGGCAAAAGAGGGTTAACACATCACTGAAACAGGTTATTTAGAGGGGCTGTGGGAACTGGAGGTTGTCAGGACTTGAGAAAGTCATGGCTGACCTACCTAGTGTTGGAGATCATCGTCTTCAAGTGGGGGTTAAATTTTATTCCAGTTGAATTACCTACTCGCTGCTGTGAAGCTCTCCAAGACACGTTTTAATGGTGGAGTGACAGATTTACTCAGTACATAGTAACTCAAGCAGATCACACCAGATATTTGATTGCATTGTCTTAATTCTACTGGCATTCACTTGGGAGCCTGATAGTTTGATTTAGTGTTGCTTCAGGAGATTCCCAAAGCAGTCGCTGATTTGTTATATTCTAATTTAGCAGAAATTGCATTATTTGCATTTATGCAAGATCTTCATATTTAAACGGATCTAATTTATTAAATAGCATTTACATATTTTTAATGATTTGCTTTCATTTGCCGCCCTTTTTGTAAAGATCTGTGGAAATAAAGAGGAAGAAATCCCGTTCTTGAGAGAATTCACCCAAGTGTGTGGCACAGGATCTCTGTGTGTGAGACAGCCGTGTCTGCCCGACTGTGTTGCAGTCGCAGGCATAGATGTGTGACAGAGCTGAGCTTCAATTTCAAGTCGATATTTATTCTGCTGTGTCATCCTCCCTCCCCACAAACTTTGGAAGCTGGAGGCAAGGATGCTGCAGTGGGGGAGTACTGTGAAAGGAGAATGAAACTTTCAGGCTCTTGGTTGTGCTAGAGACCAGTAGTTAATCTAAGAAGTCTTTGTAAACTGATATATTTATTGTGCTCTTTCTTTAACTTGAAATGAGTCTGTAGAAATTGCGACTCCTGTCCTGTCAGAATAAAATGAAGTGGTACCTGTTCAGGGAGTTGTGCTTTCCAAGTGCTCTTCTATGAGGACTGCCCTTTTATTGCTTTTAAGTAGCTGAAGTGAAGAATGCAAGCTGGTGAGAACTGCTGGGTAGACAGGAATGATGAAATTAGCTACTCTTTTGATTTGTATCTCCTGCTTATAATGCTTCAAAAGGACTTACTATGCATCTGTTAACTGATGCTGCATACATCTTCTCAATGGCAGGTTTTGATGGGTTTGGTTTATGCCAGCCCTCATCTTCTGCTCAGGTTATTTTGTGTGGTGTGAACGTTTGACTTTTTCCCAGTCTGCTGGAGGTGTGGGCCATCATCTGAACAAAGGGCTCTTTTCAGCTCTTTGTAGTGCTGCCTTACATTCACTGGAGCTCTAAGATTTAGGAACCCCACAGTACACATCTTCTGTCACTAACTTGGACAGCATCCTGCTGCCCTGTAAAATACAGGAAAGGCTCAGCTCTCTTATCTGGGTCTCCTGTACAACACCAGGTAAACAGTAGGAGAAAAAGATGACTGTCTTTGTATGCGCTTCTATGTACTGATACCTAAACAAACTCTTAAATTTTCCTCTTGCAGGAACATCATTTGCAACGGGCTATCTCAGCACAACAAGTTTTCAGAGAAAAGAAAGAGAGCATGGTTATCCCAGTCCCTGAAGCGGAGAGCAATGTCAACTATTACAATCGTTTGTATAAAGGAGAGTTTAAGCAACCAAAGCAGTTCATTCACATTCAACGTAAGTGAACAGATGTTGATTTTTTGTTAATTTATTTAAATTGAGTAATCCTCAACCAGTCTTGAGGAGGAAGTTGCTACAAGATTCAGAAAGCGGGCGGACTTGGAAATCCAAAGGGGATTTGTATACGTGAATTGCAGTATCTCTTCTCAGTCTGGAAGAACTTAAGGTTGAAGATGAGGTTTTTCCTGCTGTTTGTTGATAACTGGGTGTCCATGTACAGTAGCTGGCTACTGTTAAAAGTTCTAGATAAATGGAAATCAATAAAACAGAACAGTTTTTGTAATGATATCAACCTTCATTCTACAATCGTAACAGAGTTCGTGATGGTTCAGTTTCTGCTGTGCTAACAGTGGAGTTCAGGCTGTCCCCTGCAGCGTGGATGTGTTCTGGGCTGTGGGTGACGTTAGTTTTCACTGTGTTTTGCTGAGACTGTATAGAGTTCCCTTTCTGTATGGAACTTTGAGCTTATTTTATAGATAAAAGGAAGTATATTTTGCATGAGTCTAGCTTCCTATGTCTTAAAAGATCTAATTAATTAAAGTTGTGGTTTCTGGATTAATTTTAACACTTTTTGGTTGCTGTTCTGTTGACAAGTGACACATTTATAGTTCAGTTGTTCTTGGCACACAAATTGTGTTTGTCTCTTGCAGCATGTGGTTCCAGGGGATTATTTTGTGACTTGGACTTCTCCCAGGGGTCATCTGTGTAGCAAAACCTTAGATTTGGTTAGTGCAGTGGCTTGTCAGTCGTTATGGTAAAGCACAATTTCAGTCTTGGGTCTCTTTTTCCCATCACAAGTTCATGGTTTTGGACGTAGCTCTCAGTTTTGGGATTTGTGCAGACAATACTGATTTTATTGAGCCTCATCTTGCTACGCAGAGCGTGTTGATAATCTGTTCCTCTCACATTTTTTTCACCTGTGTGTAGATTTGAGCACAGGAAGCACTTTAAGTTTGTGTCATCTGCTTAAAAACACAACTGAAAATGAAGTTAGGCCGAGATTGTCAAGCCCAAACTCAGCTGTGTATTGAAAAGCCTTGCATGATTTCTCACCAACATGGTTAAGTCTCCAGTTTTTTATGTCTAATTACAAAATAAGGTTTTTTTTTAAATAACATGCTCAGGTGATAGAGTAGTGATCATAGTGGTAATGTGCGAAATGAGCTGAAGAAGATTTGAAATATTTCCCTCCTTAATAGAAGAAACAAACCTGCAAGCGAGGCAGGTTGAATTCACTGAGATGAAGCTGCTGAATGAGGAATGTATTTTATTACTTTCTTCGTTGGACGTTGCCAGAAACAGTGTAAATATTGTTAATAAACACATCTAAAAGTGTTAAATACATTATGCCAAAATATTCTTTGTCTTGTTGAAACTCTCAGTCTTTCTGGACAGAATTACAGAAGGTATTTGAGCTGAAGATAAACATGAGATACTGCTCCAAGATAATTTTTCCCACATATTCTGGTTGGAGTAGGTGTGATACAAGGCAGCTTTATGCTCCGTAAACTGCTGAGAAAGTCTGCTGTAATGCTAAAAGCACAGAGAGCAACAATGCTTACTTTGGTGAGGAAAGTTCTGTAAACTGAGAGATGCCAAGAGGCTACATACTGTAATCTGCACTTACTGGTGCTTATTTCTAGCAAGTGAATGTTTTGCTGTTCATCTGGCAGCCAAGAATTTTAATATTTCTAACTTTACCAGTATAATTCTTTCATTTAGAGCAGTGGTTTGAGGCAGAGAAAAGTTAATTTCTTTGTGAGGCATGGGGTTCATGGTAGCGCCAACTCTGGTGACTTTGAACTGAATATAGAACAAAAGCCTTGAACTATTTGAATTATTCCAGCATGCTTGATAATTTTTCAAGTATGTTTGTAGTTTCAGTAACATGGAGATTCATTGTAAGTTATTAATATGCAGCGAAGAGAATAAGTTAGTACACTTGTACCTATGCCAGAATTATAGCTAAGTGGATGTAAGAAGCAGTAAGAATGGAGCAAAAAATAGATTGTTAATATAGATGTATTTTACTTAAGTGTCAAATACCAAACTAATGCATTACCCGAATTAACGCACGATGTGGGTCTCTGGTTGCTCTTGGTCAGCACAGATGTCATCATTGCCCATTTCCTACTGCCGGTGCCTTTCTGGTGGCAGTTGTGTTCCCAGGGGAGCTGACTCAGGGAAGGGATCTGGCAGAAAGCTTATCTTTCATTTTCTGGTTAGGTGAACCTATTTATCAGTTTTCTGGCTTGGCTTTGTTATGTGGTTGCTGGTGTTGGCACAAGTGAGGTGGTAGGAGCGTGGCTTGCTGGGGAGGGAAGCTAAGTTGTAGTGCTAACTCATGCCTGTATCAGCTTCAAATCACTGTGGAACCACAGCCTTAATTTAGTTAGCAAATGAAATTAGTTAATTTAGTTAACTTAAACCCAATTTAATGTAACTTACCTTAAAAATAACCGCATTTCTCTTAGTTCTTGGTTCCTGGGGGAGCACAGGTAAAACAAAAAAGCCAGTCCTTCTAAAAGGCACTGCCATTGGGAGCGGTTGAAGTGGCAGAGGATGTAAACCTGGAGGCTGGTTTTGCAGCAGCAATTAGCAAACCAAAAATCAGCAAAAGTTGTGAGCGTTCATGCAGTAAACTTTGCTGGTGGGATCACCAGGGCCCTGTCCAACAGCGAGACGTGCAAAGTGGAGAAATGTGGGAGTTTTGGAGCAGGTAAACCAGATTCATCAGTCAATCAAGAGTCTTCCAGGAATTACCAGGAGGAAGGGATATGGATGATCCATTTTTAACTGCATGAACTGGCAGATTGGTTGTTCTCAAAATGCTGACTAGTAGCAGGTCATCAAAAATACAGTGCTTTCTGTGACAGAGTCCAGTTCTTCACTAATTCTTGCAGGCATGAATGAGCAGTCGCATCTGTTGCTATGGCAGGGGCAGAAACAGAGCGTGGTGATGGATGGGTACATTGCACAGCACATAAACCACCTGTGTCTTGTGATGGCTTTGAAGCCAGCAAGCTGCCAGACTGGAAGCTGACTCCAGGATGAGAAATGAGTTTTTCTGGAACCAGTGTACACAAGGATTGCTCCCCTTCAGCACCATTAACCTGCAGCCTCCGTGTAAACCTCTCTTTGAAACCGAACCGTATTGACAACTGCAGGCCATGGCGGGTGGTGCGAGCAGCATTGCTAGCAAAAGAAAAGCATTGCTAGAAGGTGTGAAAAGCAGGATAAATGACAAGGGCTGCTACAATTCTCACAGTACCAATGTCTTTGTATAACAAAATGAGACTGGATTTATTCCATGTAACTTGTTCCTGGCAGGTATGTGTTGGATACCTTTTATCTTGTCATTCTGAGTATTTGTCAAAATATTTTTGTAGAGTTGAAATTCAGGGTGTAGTTTAGTTTTGTTTGGGGTTTTATTTTAAGGATTACATTTTTTTTTTCCATTTTCCAGTGCTTCATTTGTTATTCATGAAGTCTCGAAATGACTGCTAAGACAGCTGATGTTTTATCTGCAAATAATTCAGTGCTGTGCATGAAGCTTGGTGGGCTCGACACGTTACTTAGCCAGTGGTGGTTCACAGGGGTGGGTGAACCACGGTAACAGCCAAAAGGGGAGGTTTGGATTTTCTTCCCTGTTTCACTTCTGGGTGCATGCACCCCTGTGTGTCTCAAACTGGTCCTGGTGCTTACTGGGTACCTGTGTAAACTGGTCCAGCTTGCTGAAGTGAGCAGTTAGAGGAAGGATGGACAGACTCCCTTCCTTTCAGGGTCACTTTAGATACTGATACTCTGGTTTATAAAAATTGACTTGAAACATTTTGTTTGTGGAGGATTCCTGAATTATCTTAACGTGTTGACTCTTTTTTGGTGTGAGATCAGTATCAGTGTGAGGGTAAAGCAGCAGTGCCTTTTGTGGACTTTAGTGGGTTTCTGTGCATTCTCATGTCTCTGTGAGAACATGGTCGAACCTCTGTTTTTTGGAGTAGAGACCTGCTTTGTTGTAGGACCTGCTTCCAAAAAGATGGGTTTTGAGTCCAGCACTGATCCTGGGCAGCTGCTGCATTGGTATTTGGCTGTTCAGCTCTTTGAACAGGACCGGGTAGCATTTCACCCCAGGTATTGGTACGGTGTCTCTCCTCTCAAGTTCCTAGTCCTGTTTGGTGACAATTTTAATGCAGTTTTACAGAACTATGAGTTGTTAAAAAAATCTGGGTCAGATTTTTATCAGGAACCTTTTGATTCCTACAGACTGCCACTGGAGAAGCAGGGTACGGTATTGTAAGCAGTAGTTTAATACCCGGTCATTAATTCTTAGAGGGAGAGCTGTGGGTCACGTGTGGCAGTGTCTTAAATAAAGTTGCCATGCAACTTGTATTATTAAATAAATACTGTTAATAATTCCACTTAATACGTAGTTATAGCCCATTATTATGAATTTCTTCTTGAAAGCAGATTTTACAGTGAGTTTCCAGCATGTGTGTTAGGCCAGAGGAGCTGTCTGACCAAGTGGTGGTGTCAAGTGCTGCCTCTTCTGAGAGGTCGCAGTTTGCAGCTGAAAATGGTAAGGAAATGCTTAAAATAAGCATTTATCAGTTGGATCTGACCAAGTTTCTGTGCGTAGCCAAGTAGATTAAATGCTGGTAGTGGTTTAGCTAATTTATTGCATCGGAATACAGAAAGAGTGGTTTTGGGCTAGTCTGAGATGTGGGCATGTCTGCTTACCACCCAATTGCCGACTGGTCAGACCATGGGAGAGAAAACACTATCGTTGCTTTAGAGATAAGTTTTTAGTGTGTTGTCTTCTGCTCCTGGCCAAATTTTTGGTTTAAGGCGGTCTCAAAGCATACCGGGAAGCTCAGTAGCAGAGGTTTTCTGTGAGTTAACACTCGGATACAGCTGAGTTAAAGGCATAAAGATAAGAGAGTGCTATTTGTCTAATAAGAGTAGAATGTATTTTCACCGCCTTCACTGCTGTTAATCCAGTCAACAAGTTACTGTATTATTTTTAGTATTGTGGTTGGTGTTTCACCTCTTTAGGGTTTTATTAGGTACAGTTGAGGTTTCATGTTAAGAATTCTTGCTGCTGTATGCAATTTGCTCATACTTGGTGTAAAATTTAGTTCCTGCTAGGTTATCTGAATGATAAGTTCATTGGGCTTCTAGTACTTTGTCCAAGTATAAATTTGTAGCACAATCTGTAATAAAGACACAAGCTTTGCTGTAAGGTTGGGAACTTACTACTTAGAGAGTGTGGAGGGATCTTTGGGTTCTCCGTCTAGAATTGGGTTGGTTTTGGAGAAAAAACCATGATTCCCACAGGCTTGGTGTAGCACTTTTGCAGTTTGTCACAGTTAGATGAAGGAGAAAGAGCAAGGGGAAACTTTAGTCCATTAAGTATTTTAAGAGTTTAAGTTTGTTGAACGATCTAAAAATTGGCAACTGAAATTATAGTGGAACTTCAGTGTGGGTGCTTGTTCTCCAAGTCTGAGATTTGACAGAAAATTATCCTAATTGTTAAGAATCTTATCACTATATTCTGGTGGAGCTGTATTGTAACAGCACCAAGAAGCATTTTTGCCCTTGTTTTGCAGAGAGACATTAAAGTTTCAATGCCTCTGCGGTAATTTTTTAAACTCAAACTTTTTTTTCCTGTCACCCCTTCAAGCCACTTCAAATAAAATGAAACTTCTTTGACTTACAACACGAGGGGAATCAGATTCAAGCAACTTCTAACCATTGCTTTGCAGCTGTTACGTGGGGAAAGCTTTTAGCATCAAGTGTTACAGCAGAGATATGCTAATCCAAAACTTTGTCGATCTTTTTTACTTCTGATTTTCAGATGCACGTTTCTGTATTTCCACAGGATGTTGTTTTCCAGGTGTTTCACTGTTTTTTTGTGCACGTGTGTTTTTGTTTCAGCCTTTAATCTGGACAATGAGCAGCCAGATTATGATATGGACTCTGAGGATGAGACCTTACTGAACAGACTAAACCGCAAGATGGAAATCAAGCCGCTGCAGTTTGAAATAATGGTTGACAGACTCGAAAAAGCCAGCTCTAGTCAGGTATTGGGCTGTGTGAAGAAATGACTGAGCCTTTCTCATTTCTGAGTTTTCTGATGGGGCGGTTCTGCGTGGTTTTTATTTTGTTTTTCAATTTGCTGTATTTCTAAACAACAGGGTAAGTGTGTTTGTGTGAGTCTGTGCTTAGACAGAAATCACACTGCTGTCTCTTATTGACAGTATTGATAGTTTGGGAAAAACAAGTGTCTTTTAAATTTGAATTCCTAACCACAGTGTCTTAGCTTACAACATTTTATTTTACCTGTGTCGCTATGGAAGAAGCCTGCAGTGATAGGTAGGTGTATAGATTTGGCTATAAACATATATATATGTTATATATAAACTTATAATCTAAATGCTTTGTTTCAGTTGGTACAAGTGGACACTGACTTCAGCTGCAGGCTAAAAACTTATTAGCACAGACAGTGAAGCAAAGCATTTGGTGAGATTGGGCCCATGTAGTAGAAACTGCACAGATGAAAGGAGAGAAGTTACACTCAAATTCACACTTGGCAGCTGCTTTCCCTTCATTAGAAGCAGCGTGCTGTGGATTATTTAGTCATTTATTGTATCAGAAGGTACCAGTATCTTAGAAGTCCATTCCTGAGGTTTTCCAGGATGCCAGAGTCTGGAGAAGGGCCTTAAAGCCAAAAAGATGGCTCAAAAATGACATTGAAGGATCAGTTTCTGAAAGGCAAGTTTGAAATAAGTAGTGTTATTTCTTGGTGAGATGGCTGTTTTGTGGGAGTGACAAATCCATTGCAGGATCCAGTTACTCAGTGTGATTTAGTTCAATGCGATGTGTTAAGAGGCCAAAATGTTGTCTTCTCTTCATCTTAAAGCAACCTTAACAAGGATTAGGTCAAGATTTTTTACTATGCTAAGAAGATGGGAGGCGAGGAAAAAAATTGCAGGGTATATTGGATGATACTTGTTGAACATGTGGTACTTGCATGTCCTAGAGCTTCCATGTAGATACCTCTGTTTTGGCCTTTAGTTCAAGTGGTTCTGGTTATCACTTTTCAAGATGAATTTGCTGGTTTTATGCTGGTCTCATCTTTCATAGCTTGAGTAATGAAGTTAAATGTGAGAACTGGAAGATCTTTTTCCTAAAGTGAAATATTGTAAGATTATGGATTTTTCTCTGTAGGCAGCTGCCCCTTAAATGTGAATAACACTGAAGCATGACACAGGTGAAGAGTATTTTGAGTCAGAAAGTGCTTATTTAAGGAGGGCCATGACAGAAAAGGTCTTATTTATACATGCAGCATTGTAATTGATTCTTGTAACAGGCTGTGTCTTGAAGGTAAGGTGTGTAAGAAGAAATCCCTGTCTTTAGGTGAAATTCCAGAGATTCCTCTTGGGTGTGAGCAAGGAATACAGGGACACAGCATCCACATGAGTGGTGGTACTTGCAAAAACGAGCAAGTAGGGTCAAAACTGAACTTTGCCAACTGTGTACTCAAGGCAGAGTTGTTTTTTAATTTATTTACTGGGGTTTTTTTTTTAAGAAATACATTAGTGGAAAAAAGGGAGCAAAGGACAGAAAGGACTGGGATGATGGCTTGTGTAACGTGTGTTAGCTACACACAAACCATCTCACCTGTCACACAGAGATGGGATGTGCTCGTGAGTAGGTGTATTTGATTTATTTTTGTTAAACAGTTGAATAATCTTCTAATTCTGCTGTAGGCTACAAGGATTTTGTTCTATTCTGGCAGGAGTTGGCACATACATAGTAGCAGTGGTTACGCTTAGGTTACCCTTATTTTTCTGAAATATATTGCTGCTTGTTCTGCTTATCTTAACATAGGGACAAGATTGAACGTAGTCTGACATGTTGCCAAACTGCAAATTTAAGTTGTTCAGTTGATATTTTTCAATTTATTGGGAGAATGAAGTACTGTCCAACTTCTGCTTGAAGTAATACTAGAGATTCTGTTTTCTTCTTATTGAATGAATAGGTTTAAGATGATACGAGCGAGCTAAAAGAACGTACTAGTTAGTGATGGGTTTTGCATTTATTTAGTCTTGATTTCCATATAAAAAGGAAAAAAAGAGGCAAACATGTAATTACATGTGTTTACCTCCCACTGAAGAAGTAAATGTTGTTGTGTCTCTGGGCGGTAATGAAAGGGGTGGTCATTATCCTTTTCTATCACAAAGAAAACATTTTGGGGGAAAAATTAAAAACCCAATTTACTTCAGAATATATTCTGTAGACAGTAAAATACCTTCAACGTTAAACTGCAAACAGGTGTACATTAATAATGGCTAACCAATAAGAAACTTATAAGAAAAAAAATAAGTCAAATGAAAGCAATTCTCAAATCATGATCTGCAGACTCTAGTGAGGTATTTACATCCTATGCTATCCCATTATTTCAAATGATGATTTCAGATTTCATGAAGAATTGATGGGGTTGTAGGCCATTATGTGAAAGTTTGAGGGATGAAGATGCTGGTTCAGAAAAGGTTGGGAATTGTATATTTAACTTAGGGAGACCAGCTGATGGCTTGAGTACCTCCATTTAGAGCAGTATTTCTTTCCTCCCTTTACTCTCGTGTGCTAGAAAAGAAGTTTATTTAGGAAGTGGACAAGAGAGGTGCCTGTGCGGTGACTTTCTCCCTTCACCACCACCCCAGCCCCATCTGAATTGCACCTTCTCTTTTTTCTCTTGTAGCTTGTAACACTTCAGGAAGCCAAATTGCTGCTAAATGAGGATGACTACCTTATTAAAGCTGTGTATGACTACTGGGTGAGGAAGCGGAAGAATTGCAGAGGGCCGTCTCTCATCCCCCAAATCAAACAAGAAAAGAGGGATGGCTCCACCAACAACGACCCTTACGTCGCCTTCCGGCGGAGAACTGAGAAGATGCAGACGAGAAAGGTGACTGGGCAGACGTTACTGGTTTAAATGTGGCCGTTTAAATCTGGCAGTGATGGGAATCATTTTGATTCCTATCCAGGATCTTGTAGGATCTGTCCTGTGGTTACTGATCTGATTATTAATATTTATAATCTTGGATAACCCAGCTAAATTTCGAACCTCCTGAGTGATGTAGAATGGATTTTGGATTCTAGAAAGCCGAAATTCAGAGAGTGATGTGTAGGTATTGGCACATAAACAAGCAGCTGTGGGATTTGCTGGCTTGCAGACTTCCCTTTCTGTGAAAAAGGGCAAACGGTCATCCACTTCCATGGAGTAAATAGTTCAGGTTTTGCATTTGAGCTAGGAAATCTGTAATTACTGAACATTTTACATCAACTTTGTACACGTGTGTGCACAACCTTACTGTGTGCAGAATCAAGGTGGGAAAAATGCTACAGGAACCAAGTCCCGAATTCCTTGTTCTGACAAACTTCCACTGCGTTAATGTGGAATCTGAGCAGAGAAGACATGGGGGGAATGGCTGAAAAGTTATTTTTCAGCTTAATCTTGTTTGCTTTTTGTGGCTTTGTCTACTGACAAGGTTACACTTTTAGAAAAGTTTTCTTCTGTGTGTACTTGAATGATTCTCACTTGCAGCTGCATCATGTAACTTTTTGGATGTTTATGCCTCACAGGTTTTGCTTTTGACTTAAAATTTGTTTAATCTTCCAATAGAATCGGAAGAATGATGAAGCGTCTTACGAGAAGATGTTGAAATTAAGAAGAGAGTTTAGCAGAGCCATAACCATTTTGGAGATGATAAAGAGAAGAGAGAAAACAAAACGCGAGCTGTTGCATTTAACGTTAGAGGTTGTTGAGAAAAGGTAACATTGCAGATTATATTTAAGAAGTTATTTATAACACCAGGGTTTTAATTTTCATCAAATAGGTTTGAAAACACCTCCTGTAATTTATTCCTGTATGGATAACAAGTCTTCTGCACATGTGCATGCCTGAAGACGTACGTAGCACCATAAACTTCAGAAGCTAAAATAGAAGGGTTTTATGCACGCTGCTTGCCTCTTTTGGGTCTTTCATTTCATTCAAACGTTTTCCAGTGGACATGCAGTTTAATATTTGTACTTGTGTTTTTTGAGGTACCATTTGGGTGATTATGGAGGTGAAATCCTCAACGAAGTGAAGCTTAATAGACCTGAAAAAGAGCTGAGCACAACTCCATCCACTCTTCATAACGGAAATCATCACAAAGTTCAAGAATGTAAAGTTAAGGTGAGCTTTCTTCTGCTGCGAGTCTCTTGTTAGCGGTTTTATCATTCTGTTGGATATGCCCTGCAGATGTTTGCCTTGGAAAAGTGAGTAGAAACCATTGTGAACTGTGTGAGTGCTCTTTGATTAGTTACTCTTGCAGGCACAAGAATGCAACTGTTGTATCTTGCTGACAGCTGAAACAAGTTGCAAGCAACTAATTGCAAGTAGAGAAAAAACAGTTGCTGCAGTCTGTGGTAGTTTGTTACTACTGAAGCTGTACCTTCCTCAGTAATACAGAGTAGGCATTTTTCTATCTGCTGCTGCTTGGCACCCAGTATTAGGTGATAAGTAGCAAACATAGGATGGTGGAAAAAGTGGCTATACTCAGGGACCTTTAGTTTCTACAAAGGAGTGGAAGGCTGCTCTGAGGAGGATGCAAGACTTGAGTTGCTGTGTGTTACACACTGGTTATTTTGTCTTTCTAAAACCAGCCAAGCTGTGGAATGCTGTACTTAATGCTACTTGGACAAAGCCTTCCTTTACATTTTTTTTAATCTGTACAGAAACTCAGTAGATGTAGTTTAATTTTTATCATGGACCTCGGTAGTAACACCAGAAGAAGTAGTAATACAAGGATCATCCATAGCTAGAAGTGCCGTGAAGATGCTGCTTGTCTCATGAAGTAACATACTCCACTCAGAAAACCCCAAACAAACCCACATAAAGACCCCAAAGAAAACAAAAAACCACCATCAAAGGGAACTCTGTCTCTTCTGTCACTGTTCAGATCTGATAATGAATCAGGTCGTAATGTTTTGTATACTGAAAAAAAGGACAGGCCTGATATTCCACTGCTAATGTGACAGGAAAAAAAGATGCACCCAACATTGAATTAAGATGTGTTTTTGAGAGAGAACCTGAACCACTAGGTATAAAATGCTTCAGTGCAAGGCTGGAGAGCTGGAGACCTTTTGAAACTTGTATTTAGCACCTGCGACACCCAGTGGTGACTGAGTTTAATACAAATCCCTTGGTTCGGGGGCAGGATTTTGTTATTCCTTGAGATTCCCATCTCTGGTTCTGAAGCTGAGCCCCGTTACTGGCGCTGGTTTCAGTCAGTTATTGATAAGTGGTAATTTGGGGTAAATTTAAAGACTTTTTCAAAACTGCACTGGCTTTTACTTGTAATTGAGAATCTCACAAGTAATCTTCCTTTTAATTTAAATGCTTTGAAGTTTAATGGCATTTGTGCTCAAGTGAAGAGTTTAATATTGACAGAGTTGCTTACTGCGGAGAGTTTGTGTTGGCAGGATCTTCAGTAGCGGGAGCGAATCACATTAAATCTTTTCAGAAATATCAGCTGAGAAACATGAAACAAATTAGGTGTTTCTTTTGAACTTATCTGAGCTGTTCAGAAAATTGAAAGTGCTTGCTATAGAAAACTCAGATTTCAGAAAAAAAATTGGAGTAGCATTTGCAATTACAATATACTGAGTGCACTGCACAGCAAGAGACTCTTGGGTAGTCACCTGGCTTGAAAGCTTTCCGTTTGTTTATTAATAAATGTCTGTAAAGGTGATCAGAGGTAAATTCTGGGTGTTTTAATGTTTTGAATAGATTTTGCTTTGTGTCTGAAATAATCTGCACGTGCTGCATGTTGAGAGGTTTCGGAAGACAAGCAGTCAAGTCTTTTAAGGCATGAGATGAGGAAAAGGTAATTTTTTAACTATTTTTCTGTTTATTTTTCACAAGCAGCATCCTCATCATTCATCTCTAAAGGAGGAGGTGTCAGACGTTGTCCGTCAAAAGAAGAAGTATCTAAAGAAACCGAAAATAGAGTGCGTAGTAACTCCTCAGCAGCCCTCTGCTGAGCCCTTGCCCGTCATCAGCAAGAGCGATATTAAACAGTACGACTTCCACAGCTCAGACGAAGATGAGTTCCCACAGGTAATAAACCTGGAAATTTCAGGTGCTGGTAATTTGGCCAGTCAGCCTTGAAATGGAGAATGGCTCTGCTGGACAGTGGAGATATATAGATACATATAGTCTATATATATCTATATATATAAAAGAGATACTTGTATAAACAATAGGTTTGTTTTCTTTTTGTAAGTTATGCTTCTGAGGAGCTTGCATTTACTATAAGTGTGGCAGGTCAGATCATATAAACAAGCTTGTATACAAAATAAATAAAACTGTATTCTACAAATGTGGCAGTTGGAAGAATGACTTTGCTTTCTGGTCTAGGTACCCTCACCAGTATCAGAAGCAGAAGAAGAAAACGATCCTGATGGACCTTGTGCTTTCAGGAGAAGAGCAGGATGCCAGTATTATGCCGTAAGAATATCTGCTGTTGCATTTAGTGTGGTGGTTGGGGTTTTTTTAATTAATTCCGATTGGCACAGTGCTAATGTTGTATTTCTTCTGCTCCCACTTTCACCACCAAGTCTTTGATGATTTGGTGAATCCAGAGAAAACCATTTGAGTTTTCAAGAGAAGTTTTCTCACTGTACTGTTCCTCTGCGGTTACCTGAAGGTAGTGCTGTTAAGAAGGGAGAGGTTTTTGTCCCCCTTGTTGGTTTTGGTTTTTTTTTTTAGCATGTCCTTTCTTCCCAGCCTGTGGAGCTCATTAGAGTTGGATATTTCTTGTCCCAGTTTTCAGACCTGCTGAGGGATCCTGCTGGGGCATTGAGTCGAGTCTGCTGTTGAAGCAGAGGTGTTTAATCTGCTGAGGAGTTTTTTCATGTAATTAAGTCAAAATTTCCTTTTGACATCAGTGCAAACTGTAGATACGTTGAAAAACATGAGGTGACAATTGCAATAAAGGACAGAGGCTTGGTGTAGATGTCCTGTTACCATCTCAACCACTGACAGTGACGTTTTCTTACCAAGCACGTGCTGGTGGCTGGGGAGCTTTAGGCTGCAGAGGACTGAGAAAGGCAGCACAACGCTTTAATGGCTCTGATTTTACTTTCCCTGCTTCCCGTGGGAAGAATGAAGTTACGTGACAAAATAATCGTGTAATTGTGTAGTCTTTAAAGCTATTTATGGAGAAGTCATTTAGCACTAGGTGGCTGCTTCAGAAGCCCAGACATCCCCCACAGTACTTGAACAGTAGCACGGGCATCTCCCACCAGTTGCACTGAGCTCTTTGCGCAGGTCAGGTGTGTGCTGCCACCTGCGCCTGGTCTGCAGTGTCCAGAACACCACGGCTAACTCGATCTGTCCAAGAAAATGCCATTACTTTTAACTACTCTTCTCCTTTTAGGGATTTATTAGTGGGTTAGCTGAAGCATCTCTCTCAAAATGTATCCTACTTTTTTGGTTTTCCTTAGCCTGTGAGTGAATTCCTTAGCCAAAAAAAGCTGAGGTTACTGAAAATTTGTGTTTTCATTCTTTTCTGTTACTTTTCCGTTGCTGTTTAGAAGCAGGTTATTTAACAGCCTCTTAGGTTTTTTTAACTACTGGAGCCGTTGGAGGTTTGGTTAACTCTCAACATAAATGGGTTGAATCTACAGCACTGCTGTTGCTGTAAGTTTAACCTGATCACAAAAAATCGATTACTTTCATGAATATTTATTAAACTGTCATGTAAGACGTTTCAGACAGCACTCAGCATTTCTGCTTGTAAAGGTGATGCAGTTTTGAGCTCATAATGGTAACAGTGAGGATACTCATGGTGTAATGAAAATGCCCTGAGGTAAGCTGATACAGCAAATAGGCTGTCGAGATCTGGTAGTGGAGTGCTGTGTGCTGGAACAAAAGCCATTCAGATCAACATCTTGTCACCTTTTGGCAGTATGAGTTTCATGAGTAAAAATAAACTGCAAATTTAGGAAGCCCTTTTGAAATTACCTGTGGACATAGGGGAAGTGTTGGCATTTTGCTTTGGAGAGCTGATGATTCAGTGGGATCCTTTATGAATCAACAGGTTGTCTTGGGGTTTCCTTTGTCACAATGAGTACTACAAGTGTTCTTCTGTGGTGTGATACTTAGCACTGCAGTTGTTCACACACGTTTTTACAGACAAAAGCTTTTATGCTGCTGACCCTTGCTAGCAGGGTTAGACAAATTCATGAGGATAGGCCCTGATCTGATCACAAAACATAGTCCAGGTGCAGCCTTGCCTGCAGGAAGTCCTTGGGCTTCTGAAAGCCTGAAGCTCAGAGGCTGTAACAAGAAAAGAATTGCTCCCTGTGCTTTCTGTCCTGTGATGAACCACTGAAAGAGCCGTTATCGGGCAGGAGGTACCGGGCCAGATGGACCTGTGTCTGAGCAGCACGGTTTTATGTCCTGCTTGGTTCAGTGAATTAATTCTGGCTTGTTTTGTTTTTTGGTTGTGGTGTCTGATTTTATGACTAATTAAGGAAAGGGGGTTTTCTGCTTCATGAATTCATGTATTAAAAAACAACTTTCAAGTTCTTACGTGATCTGAGCATATTAATCAAGTGATAGCTCTGTGGGCGTTTTCAGCATTTCCTATACCGTGTCCTCTGCGTGGTAATCACTTGGTAGTAACCTGATCAAAGTGTACACTAAATTAATGCAAAATTGCCTGTTCTTTTTCCTTTACAGCCTCGTTTGGACCAAACTAATTCTTCATTTGAGAACTCGGAATTGGCAGAATTGGACAAACTGAGGTTCAGGCATTGCCTTACAACCCTTACAATTCCACGAAGATGTATAGGATTTGCAAGAAGGCGAATTGGCAGGGGTGGAAGGTACGGTTGTGTTGTTTTTACTTCTCATTCCCCTTGAAGTGATGAAAGTATTAGACAGAGATAGTTAAACTCATGTCATCTTTTCATCCTCTTTCATCAGGGTTATAATGGACCGAATATCCACAGAGCATGATCCTGTCTTGAGACAGATTGACCCGGAAATGCTGAACAGTTTTCCAAGCTCTTCCCAGACTTTAGACTTTTCTTCTAATTTTTCACGGACCAATGCTTCCAATAAACGTTGTGAAAACAGACTGTCCCTTTCTGAAATCCTAAGCAATATCAGATCATGTCGACTGCAGTGTTTTCAGCCAAGGCTACTAAATCTCCAGGACAGTGATAGCGAAGAATGTACCTCAAGGAAACCAGGGCAGACTGTGAATAATAAAAGAGTCTCTGCAGCGTCTGTAGCTTTATTGAACACCAGCAAGAATGGCATATCAGGTAGGCAAGGATTTGAATTCTTCTGGAACTTAAAATACTGAATCTTAGGGTAATTCTTCAGCAGTGATGTGCACCTAAACCGAACATGCGAGCTAATTACTTTGTATTTCTTAGAGTATACAGAAATTTTCCACAACCAGTCCACTTCCTCCTGCGTTTATTACAGTTTCAATAGAATCTTGATCAAGTGCTGGACTTAAATATGCATTATCCAGAGGAGGGATTTTGCTCGTATTTAAGAGTGTGATTGAGCCTTAAAGACTTGAATTGGTCTAAGCTGGGTTAAGGGGAGAAGAATGCTCTTTATAGATGCAAAAGAAAAGCAGGTTCTCAGAAGCAGGGAGTGGTGTAATTTTTGTTGTCAGAGTTTTTCTTGTTAAATCTTGCCAGATCATCTCAGAAAACCAGCAGCGAGTTAGTGAGCATACTGAGCAGGCGTGAAAAAGTCTGCAAACAGCACTTTTTGTTGATATGTCATAGTGAAACTTTTGACTCTGGAAGCCTCCAATCATGCACCTTCTCTGTTGATTTTTCAGAAAATCGTCAGCCATCGATTAACTGTGCTGGGAGGTTGCCTTTTCCCTTAAATATCGTCTCAGACTCTCGTAGCCAAGCACCTGACAGCCTCAAATGAGCCATTCACACATAAATGGTTTTACGTTAAAAAAAAGTAGGCCCTCTGGTAGCGATGAGTGTAGAAGCACTGAAGTTGGAATAAAAGCCATCAAAAGTAAAAATGGCATTAAGCCTCCATTAGCAGTCTTTACATTACTTGCTGCTTGTGTTAGGAGTGATAATTGCATGAGTTTTAACATTGCCACTTTATAATCGTAAAAGGATGTAGGATTCTGTAAAAAGATGAACAATTGGAGAAAAGCCAAGAGATATCTGCTACCAAGCATCAACAGGCACCTGAGTATTTCCCTGCTCTGTTGTGCATATACAGATTTAGGTATTGTAAAACAGGTAATAAAACGGGCTGATTCTAAATGGCATAATTAACTTATGTGGCTGTGGTCTCTTCTAAAGTCAGTTGCAGGATTGGGTATTTAATCTTAAATAACATACCTTTCAAATTAAATTTCTTGAAGGCAAAAGCAGATGTTTTTACGTTAAGGTCTTAAAAGACTGAGCGTTGCCCTGTTAAGTAATACCAGTGTACAGTCGTTGCAGCCTTTGTATTGTTTGCTCTCTCACAAAAAGGATTTGCACAAGAGTATTTTTCTGCTGTGCGAAGAGAACAGACACAAGGTGCTATGGTCATATTTTGTGTGATTTTCTTTTTTGTAAGGAACTTGAAGGGCTGCAGAGTTGCACTTGTAGCAGGAAGGGGCGCGTTTGTGCGACGGGATTATTGATAAGCATCAAGAGATGTCTTGTTAAATGCAGAAAATAGGAATGCTATTTGTCAGAGTTCAGGATGTGGAACGTGGACTGTAAGATGTAAGGAGCAATGAAGAATTTGCTGGTAGCACTTTATAGAACAAGAGCAAGTAATACTGCAAGGTTTCTGTGTGCATGAATAAGGTATGATGATACCAAGGTAAGGAAAGCTGCTCAAAAAGATAAAGGTTAAGTTGATGATTTTTTTCTGTAGAATTTGTCACGATAATGTAATAAATATCAGTGAATTATTTAAGGGGTAACTAGATTAAAACATCAAGGCTTTGAATTCTGCGCTGGGGAGACTCTTCCCCTGCCCCTGAGAGAGGAGTCTACCAAAAAAACTAGGAGAACGTTTCAACATGAATAAAAACCCCTGAGTTGTTGATGCTCTATGGCAAATTAATGATCCACCTGTGTGGACTAGCACTCGTGTACTTCAGGATCTGCATGGTCAGGGAAAGAAGAGAACTAAAGGGAAGCATAGAGAAACACGTGTTTTAATGATGGGCCTGTAGAGAAATGTCTAAAGAAGTGCATAAAACCAAATGTGATGGATCTAAGGAGGAGTAAGTAACTTCTGTTGTATAATCTTAGAAGTCATCTGCGGAATAGATTTAGGTTAGAACGGAGATCACGCAGTAGTTGAAGCACATTATGCAGGGAACCTGATGGTTATAGAAGACCTTTTTCTTTCCAGATTTAAATTACAAAACAAATCCTGTAGTTCCGCTAAAGGATCAGCTGCAATAGAAAACAGAATTCTTCAGCAAATAACTGAGCCAGCGAGAGGCACCGCTGTTAGGTTTTCTCATTAGTAAATAGTGAGTAAATTTTAAAAGGTCAGAGTCTGGTTGTGCATTAAACAAGCAGAGGTCCTATCACTGCATTTATTGAAGTAATTCTGTGTGGGGGATGTTTGAAATCAGTTGATTTTGTAGAGCACTTACCTGTAAGCATAATGCTGCCTCTGGAGGAACCACTGGCAACAGTCAAACAGATTGGTTTTGGTTTGGTTGTTTTTCTTTTAGTTTAGGAACCTGGAGTTCCTTGCTTTGGTTTTTCAGTGCACAAGAATATTTAGTGTTACCTCTGCGTTCTGTTCTTCACTTGTATTAATAAAGCAGCTCTTACCCTGGTGTTTGGTCAAATGCCAGGCATTGTACAAACATTTTTAAAAATGTGTGACTGATCTTTTTCTGAAAGTGCCTAAGCAGTGTGTGAATAAAGAGCCACTGTTTCAAGCGACATTATTCTCTTGCTCGTGTTGTAAGAACTGCAAATGGGAACACTGAATCTGAGGAACTTTGAGACAAGGTCACTGAAACCATCTGAACCCTTTGATCAGTTGTGTAAACTGCTTGTAGCGTCTGGAAAAGTGTCTGCTCTCTTTGCCAGAGACACTGCCAGAAAATGAGATACAAACTGATGAGCTAGGGATGCAAGTGATCATCAGGAGAGACAGTGGAGGAGGGAAGCTACCAGGAATTTGTAGATGTTGCTACTCACCACAACTAAGTAACGCTGAACCTGCTTGCTGAATTCCTAGAGTGCAACTCAGCTCCTTTTTGGGACTGAAGTAGGAAATAGGCTTTAGGGAAAGTCTTCAGCCATCTGCGGGGCTGTCAGTGTTGTGTTTGGCTCCCGGTCTGCCTCGGCTGCCAGTTGCAGTGAGCTGCTGGGATAGTTCTGGGTAGTTACCATGTCTGAAATACAAAAAACAACTGCAGATGCTGGCATTCTCAGCTGAAGAGCTCTGCTTGTGGAACAAGCTTTTACCTTTTAGAGGTGTATTTTTTTCCAGAATTAAATACCATGGAGAAATAACTAGATTAATAAAAGACCACTTTTGGGGCAGCCTGAAAGGTGATCTTTGATTAAAGCCTTCAGATAGTCAGAGAAGTGACGACATAATCCAAACCAAAGCCATCCAGGAGAGGAGCCTGGAAGACTTAATTTCACATTGACTTTTTACCCTGTTGTTGTCGTATTTCAATTCAGGCAGGTTATGGTAAAACAGAAAATCTCAATATTCAGCAGTGGAAGCTAAAATTCTGTAGGCTGCTTTCTCTATTAAGTCTTTAACATCCATAGAAGAATGCAACTTTGAGTCTAGATGAATACCCCTGTACTGCAGACAAATAATAGCTAATTGTGGCTAGGTGTAATTCAGTTACTTTCTTGTGCTCTATAAGCTTGTTCTAAAAGACTTTTTTTTTTAATATAAAACAAAAGTTGTGTGCTGGAATTTGTTACCTCAGCACTTAAAAATAGAAATACATACATACATGTAGTGTTCTGTAATGCTGTTCTTGGCTCTTGCCTTTAGTAACGCAACACGTTTTGAGAGACTGATGTGAAGGGAACTTAGCACGTTGAGCTGACTGAACTTTGAGTTAAATGCTTGTAGTAATAGGTAAGAATCTTGAAGAGGAACAAAGTACAGCTAAACATGAACTAAATTTGAAGACTAAATATGGAACTCTCCCCCTCTGCTCTGCGCTGCTCACACCACAGCTGCAATCTTGTGTCCAGTGCTGGGCCCTCAGCTCCAGAAGGACAGGAACTGCTTGAAAGAGTCCAGCAGGGCCACAGAGATGAGATGCTGGAGGGAGTGGAGCATCTCCTGCTGAGGAGCGGCTGAGGGAGCTGGGGCTCTTGAGCTTGGAGCAGAGGAGACTGAGGGGTGCCCTCATTCCTGGGGATCCATTCGGAAAGGGCAGTGTCAGGAGGAAGGAGCCAGGCTCTGCTCTGGGATGGCCAATGCCAGGACAAGGGGCAATGGTCCCAAGCTGGAGCACAGGAGGTTCAAGCTGAAGCTGAGGCCAAAGTTTGTGAGTGTGAGGGTTATGGAGCATGGCCCAGGCTGCCCAGAGAGGTTGTGGAGTGTCCTTGTGTGGAGACACCCAAAGCCCTGGCCGTGTTCCTGTGTGACTGCTCTGGTGCTCCTGCTGTGGCAGGGGGTGCACTGGGGGAGCTTTCCAGGGCCCTTCCAACTCCTCATATTCTGGGATTCTGTGAAATTTGATTGTAGAAGGTATTGGAAATGATAATAAAATCCCTTGCATCTAATAGGAGCAACTGTATTAGTAATTGGGTTTTTCAGTGCCCTCCTAACGTGGTTGAAGCCTGTTTGAATAATGTAGCAGTAGAGAAGTTTCAGTGGTCATCTCTAAACAGTCACAGTCTTAATTTTGATATTTATTCAGAACAAAATTTCAAGACAACAGTGAGTACTGCAAGTAGAAATCGAAAGAGCCAGACCCAGCCAGAGAGATCACTTCATATTTTAACGTGAGCTCAGTGTCTCTTGGCAAGATGATATTCCTGCAGAATCCAGGTGTTTGAAATGAATGACAGCTTCAGTCTTTGGAAAATACAGTTCAGAATAGTAATGGCAATCTTTGAAAAGTGAATCCCCTTTTTACTTCTTCCTGTTCTCTTTTTACTTCCTCCCAGGGGAACTTAGCTCTCAGGTTAGCATCAGCTGCACAGAACTCAGGTTTTACCATTCAATACTTGACAGTGTTTTCGGTTTATCAAGCGTGCAGCTCTTCATGGGGAGAACATTGAGAAGCACTTCTCTGACTTCACCACTCCCTTCACTTGTTGAGTGTGTGATACTGCTGGGCTTGCATTAACCTGCTGCTCAGAAAGAAACCAACGTGCTGTGTCACTTTTAAACACTTACGCCATTAAAAATAAGTAATTGTCAGAGAAAATCCTGTTCAGGTGAAACTTAAGCATTTCCTTCAGGGGAAAAAAAGGTGTGAAATAGGAAGGACAAACTGGATTTGCTAAATGGACGGCACTTTGTGACACTTGCAAACACAACGTTTTAGATGTGGAGATCAGCTTTGTCACTCTATATTCATTAGTTTATAGCCCTTTCAAGTGAGGGTTGGTACAGAACTGCATACAAACTGTTTAAATATCTGAGCTGTGGTGTTCCCGAATGCCAGGTTTGCAGAGTCCGTTTGGTGGCAGAGAAAAGGACGATATTAGAGGACTGTAGGAGGGAAAATTTTACAGACAAACTGACGGTGTTCTCTACCCAGTGGACTTCTTCCTCAGCTGGCATTTTTAGGCCATGCTTGTTTTCTGAAAACCAGAAAAAAACCCAAACCTAAAGAGTTTCTTAAAGCTTTTGCTTAAAGCTACTGGAGCAAAACCCACCAAAGATAGAAACTGCTTAAAAGCAATGAAAGCTGTGAATCCTGTTGTTATAAATTGACTTAATGCTAAAGAACACTACGTGCAAATTTAGTGTGGCCTCTCCCTTACATAAGAATATACGAAGATCTTTGCAAGCATCTACCATGGTGTAAGTTGTCTTCAGCCACCTATTGCCCAGCACGGATGCACTCGTGCATTTTAGATTGGTTTGGTTCGTGCAGGCCGATTTAACCCAAGCTTTGCTTTCTTTTCTGTAGTAACAGGGGGCATCACGGAGGAGCAGTTCCAGACACATCAACAGCAGTTGGTGCAGATGCAGAGGCAGCAGCTTGCTCAGCTCCAGCAGAAGCAGCAATCGCAGCATTCCTCACAACAGACACATCCGAAAGCACAGGTAAGGCACCGTCAATCTTGTCTTACACTGGTACATTCTTTTTTGCTTCAGGTGGTTTTCATCTCTCCTATAAGCGAAATGTAACACCTCAGTAAATGTGTTACACTTTAAAGAGACCACAGAATGGGTTTTGGTGAAGATACTTCCCCAGTTTGCTGTATGGTGCCTGGAAGGCAACTTATGCTGTAGCTTGTCCAGATACTTTGCTTCCATTTCTCTGTTTGGCATAAGATAATATTTTAAGTTTCAACATCAAAATCTGTGTAGTTGGTCAGTGTAGAAATAGCCAGTGCTCTGTCAAAATGTACTATTTTGACTGGTTTTATCCTCCTTTGTGTAAGTGCTCTGAAGAGACTTCTTTATTAAAACTACTTTATGAGGTAACGTATTTCTGTTATGAACAGATGTTCACTGAGTACTAAACATTGGCAGCTTCTGAGAGGAAAAACGTACTTTTCCATATTCAATTGGATTCCTTCCCCCTCCCCATCCCCAGTGTTACTACTTCTGTCGCCTAAACGAGTCACATTTTTCCTCTGTAATGCCTTGCAAGGGAGGAAAGTGTTTCCCTGTCGAGCTTAGTTTTCTGCTAGTTTTGTACCAGGAAAATATAAAAGCTGTTGCTGCTGTTTATTACTAGAAAAACATATTTTACCTTGAGCATATTATATTTAATTGCCAGTGCTGTTTGTCTCTTCCCTTGGTGTTTTCTACTTTGATTAATCAGGGATTCTCTATAGGTGCTGACATTTTTCTAAGTGTAAAGACATGATACCAGAATATTTTAAACAAATGGAGTGAATTTTGGATTTTTGAGATGTTCTGAATGTCTGTGCAAAGTAATTTTTGTAGTTCCATATAAATTAAAATTGCAGAGTGATACATTCAGCCATTTCTGGGTGTCTTTCCAGTACTTGCCATTCTTTCAGAGAAACTGGACTAATAAAGGTGTGTACTTCCAGAATGCAGTAGGCAGTTGTGCTGTGGTACAAATTACTCCATGAGAATGAACATACCATAAATGCTGGAAATTCTTTAGACTTGCAATTGCAGTGTGTTTGCTGCCTGGAGGCAGAAGAGAGAAGGAATCTTAAGACATAGTCATTTTCTTAGAGGAAACCTCTCAAACACAGAATCACAGCACGGTTTGGGTTGGAAGGGCCCTCAGAGCCCCCCCAGCCCCCCCCCTGCCATGGGCAGGGACACCTCCACCAGCCCAGGCTGCTCCAGGCCCCGTCCAACCTGGCCTTGGGCACTGCCAGGGAGGGGGCACCCACAGCTTCTCTGGGCAACCTGGGCCGGTGCATCATTTGGATGCCAGGGCACCCACAGCTTCTCTGGGCAACCTGGCCTAGTGCATCATTTGGATGCTGATTTTCAACTTGCCAGACTTGTGATATAGAAATATTCCTGCATCTGGGCAGGAACAACCCCAGG